CCGACCGACCGACCGACCGACCGACTGACTGACTGACTGACTGACTGACTGACTGACTGACTGAATGAATGAATGAATGAATGAATGAATGACTAGAGTGGCTGGCTGGATCATTTGACTGACTGACCGACCGATCGAACGATTGAGGTCCGAGGAATGGATGGATTAATTTAATTAACATTATATTACATAAATTGTCACCTGTGGATGATCTGGTTTAAACTCTTCACGCCACGTAATGAGGCCCAGATCCTGAAATGTTTTCTTGATAAAATCTCGAGCTTTCTGTTTACCTTCGGGATTAGTCACGTGATGTCTATTTTGGTTGAAATGTTTCAGGAAAGACATAAGAGAGGCGCTCTTATCACTGTCGTCTTCTTGACTGGCAGCTGTCAATATAAATCAACTTTATTTAATATATTTAGCATGAACAGCTGCATGAGCCAGTACCCCGTTGTTTCCTGTTTATTGAGAAATTATGAACTGGAAATTCTAATGTCTTATCTACATTACATCCTTATTCTTCCTTATTCACTTCGACTCCACTTGCAATTTCTTGTTCCTACAACTCTTAAAAGTCATCAAAACTGAGCTTACATGACACTTAAAAAGATAACGAGAGATAATTGCCAAAAATACGTACAAATACAACGTTCAACTGTACAATTTGCCGGTGTATTAACAGCTCTGTCTGTGAAAAGCTATATTAATCTACATTGAGGTAAACTGCAGGTCAGACTTATCTCGGCGAATTACAAATTCTGAGTAAGATAATCTTTGCTATCTATGTGATGTAGTAAAATTCAGCGTTTTTTAATTTTTAATATGTTCTCAGTTTCTAAGGCATAATATAATAGAGAGCCGAAGAGCCAATTGAAAATGAAACAATTGAAAATGAAATTAAAACACACATTTCTTTGGAATGTTTTTGCTAAGTTTTTTGCTGCTTCGCAACATTAAACCGAAAGATTGTAAATAATTCAAGCGAAAAGATCCAATATAATATGCACGTAACGATAAATTTTTATGTTGCCTCTTGAAGGAAAAATTGAGTCCGTCTTGCTCGGCTCGTTCTAAGGCGAAAGTGAACTATAAAATAGCAGCCGATCGAGAAATTTCATTTCTTACTCTCGCTTAAAAAAGTCTTCACACGGATATTTCAACGTCAATGGCGAAGATATCAAGCTGTTACCGAGATCCTGCGAAATAAAATAAAAGTCAACAACATAGTATGACCTAGTATGGAAGTGGTGTCTGCATTTTCAAAAATCGTTTTCCGTATTTTAGGGTGGTAACTTTCGTAGTTTTGATCGCCAGTCGAGGATAAAGTAGTTCAAAATTCTATCATCAAGTAAGTAACTGAGTTAACAATTTATACTGCTTGAGTAATGAGTGGACAAAAACCTAGTACCAAGATTATTTACATCGTATTGCAGACATCTGTACGACTGTTTTAAATATCCTCTCAAAAAAAATCATTTCTAGCAACACCAAACTTCGAAAACGAATGTTGAACTTCGTATGAAACACTTGAAAGTACTGGTGAAATAAAACTGGTGACGGAATTTTGCCTGCGTTTGCACAAGTTCTGTGAACTTTGAAATTCATTTTCTCTCGTTCTCATGGAAAATTATCTTCGGTGTTATTTCAGGCAATTATTTATGTATTTCCCTTTAAGAAAATGTAAAAATGACTGTAAAATTATTCTGGTACCCGATTTTTGTCCTGTGAAACCTGAAATTGCTCGATTTTCTATCGGATTTCGTCTTAAGTATAACTGAGTATGCTGAATCCAGACTGAATACTGCCGAAGTCGCTTTAGGCTCCGATTTAGACAAACGACACTAGCTTCAGTTTAAAGTTCTAGACACCGTGGGATGTGCACTAACTACGGAATAACAGAAGAATACAATTACAGAAGTTCTGAAAAACAGAGATGATCTCACCTGTTAGAGCGAAAGGAAGAAGTAGACACACAAATAACAACCAGCCACCCTCCATGATGAAGTGTCTGTAACAACTTTTAAAAACAGTGCAGGTGGCAGTCCATATGCTCTGGGAGGGGAGGTTGAAATGAAATGAAGGCTCTCTACTTGGTGATCAACTCCTCCTAAAGGTACCCCGACAAGGCAATATTATGTTCCTTTCTTTCTCGGAAAAACTATGAAGCTTTCCAGTTTTTCAAAGAATTCATTCAAGTATTAGTTCTCGATTCCGAGAACTGCGTTTCCAGGAAAGTACGTGCGTTCTTAAACTCACAAGCTTGACAGCTGACTATAAAATTTCATTTCCAGTTTGTTTTAAATCGGCCATTTATGATGGGATTACGGCGCGCATTTTTATGGCTCGGTCTGCGACCTTCGTTCCTCAATCCAATAAGTCCATTTTCGATAATAATCAATAGCGCCCTGTTAGCCTGTGTTCGGTAACTCTCGATAGACATTAAAAAAAAAAAAACGTTGAAATGACTAAGCTCATATACATGATTGAAATATACACTACCTTAAAAATTCTCGAATTGTATGTCATTTTTTTATATTGGGACAGTCTAATGGGGTAGACCCTGGACTCGGAACTGGTGATTATAAGCCGTTTGTCAATAATTGATCGGAACTGCACAATTATATTGGCCGTTTTTATACTAGAGCTGAGGACGCATTATCCGTCCAGAAGGATAACGCGTCCTCGCCGTTTTTATACTAAAGACGCATTATCCGTATGGACGAACTTGGGCAAACATTTGTAGTTCGTCTGGTTATGAGTCTTTAGTATGCGTCTTCGAAATGCGTCTTGAACGACGCACTACGAGAGATAGTTCGTCTAGACGCATAATATGTCTTTATACTTGAGACGTATAACCAGACGAACTACAAATGTTTGCCCAAGTTCGTCCAGACGGATAATGCGTCTTTAGCATAAAAACGGCCGATGTTTTTGTTGTTGTTGTTGTTAGTTTTTTTTTTTTTTCGTTTTATTACAGTTTAGAAAAAAGATGGACTTGTACCAAATTACTATCATCCTACTTACAGTTGATAATACTAAACAAAGGAACGGTTTCCATGAAGAATAGAACTTGTTCATTTGACCTCTGGATTGATAAATAACTCTTTGTACATTGATCTTATTTTTAACAAAGTCTAAAATCTGAGATAGACTTAAAGTTTTTTTTTTTCTCGAGCAAAAATGTATCTTTTACCTAACAAAGTATAATAATTAAAAAGACGGGTTTTCTTCTCTTCGGGGTAATAACCTTACAATATACCTAATACATCTAATGTGTAGGAGTTATCACTTTGAAGATTCCAACAGCTAATAGCTTTGACCCAGAAATCTTGATCAGTTTTACTCTTGACTAACATGTGAGACAAAGTTTCTAATGAATTACAATAGCTACACAACGGGAAAATTCAATATTTTTTATCAAATATAGCCTATCCATTATATATACTGACTGCATAATTGGTGTTAAATTTTCTCATGTTTGACATTTTTACCACGCTTTTTTCTTTGAATCGCTTAATTTCATAACGTGAAGCTAAAACAAACGGTAGATTTCGAACAGTGAGACGACGGGACAAAAAATGGCTGGGATGTTTAGCTAAAACTTTACCTGGTGGACTTGAAGATTATTTAAAGCCGACGTCTATTCGGAAACCGGCATTGGTCGAGAAAATACGGATCCAAAATATCGTCCTTCGTCAGTGGAGAGCAGATCAATTATTTGCCTCAGCCTTCGGCTTCGGCAAATAATTGATCTGCGAAACACTGACAGATAACAATATTTTGCAATAACCGAGTTCAATAATTGTTTTATCATTCGATCACCAAGTTTGTTTTCACATTTTAATCACTATCTGACAGCTCAGGGAAGCGATCTGCCATTTTTCACTCGAGAACGTGTTTGAATTACCAATGAGTAGAATATATTTGCAGACAGTTATTTGCAGGTCACGTGGTGGGCTCTCGGCCATTGAAAAGGAAGGAAAAAACGCACCGAATCAGATAATATTGCGAGGTTGTTCTTGTGTTCCTAAATTCCAGAAACTGCTGTTCCATTCGTCAATGGAAATTTCCAGAAATTCGAACCAGACGCTCTTAGCCCTAAGGTCCCGTACACACGTGTCCGGATATTTTTGAATCCGTAACTTTTACTTCCCGGATTCAAAAATTTCCCCTTCCACACGTAGAGTATTCAAATCGAATTCACCTGTCCACACGCATCCGATGGTATCCGGATTCTCTCTGGAGAAAGTAGGCCTACACGTTGTGCCGCCATATTGGTTTATTGTTCGGTAAGAGACTGGACACAATTTTGCTAAGTCATCGGATTCGAAATTATCCGGATTCACCGTCTACACGTTATCGGATTCGTTGCGGATTTATTTTTTTCCACTCTGGAGAGCGGATTAAAAACTATCCGGATTCGCTGTCGAATTCGCTAGATGCGTGTGGACGGAAGCCGTATCTGGAAAGAAAAAGTTGCGGTTCGAAAATATCCGGATTCGCCGTCTACACGTTATCGGATTCGTTGCGGATTTATTGTTTTCCACTCTGGAGAGCGGA